CATATGGTGCCTTGTCCAGCAGAAAAGAAACACATTTCCAGCTTTGCTAGTTCTTCATGAACAAGCAGAGAGGATTCATGAACTTGGGATCTGGTTGTGATACCTGTAGCTTAAAATACAACCCAGAGACTGTCCTTGCTCTGTGAAACTGGGAGAATGAGTGAAAATAAAGCAAAATGGGCAATGTGGCGGTGTATAGGGAGGTGTTTGGCATACATGTGCCTCAGAGGAAAACTCTATTTAAAGTTCATTATATGAAATAATGGCAACTAGGGTAGCCAGAGTCATTTTCTTCATGCTGAAGAAACTTGATCTTAATGGCTGAGACAGTCCAGCCTGGTCGGACTGGGGGCTGCATGGAAGGACTGGATATGCAGAGTCTGCCTTTAAAAGGGTTGAACCGAGAGGCTGAGCTGAGATGCTGTATGGAATGTGAGGATGTGTGTATGGCTCGGAGGCAATTGAATAGTAAAAATGGTTTCAAGAATGAAGAGACTTCTCAGGAGATGAAAAGGGTAATAACTCTCAAGCAGAGCTCTTGTTTTACATGGCAGAATGTACAGTCTAATAGTAGATCGGGTAAAAACTTGGTTTTCTTTTTTTATTAGAAATGTGGGGCAGCTCAAAGTGTGTTCTCGCTGAGCAGCAGATTTGGGACACGTACTTGAGGCTGATGAAAACTCACTGGATCTGTAATTTAGAAATGGATAATGAAAATGTCACTAGTTCAGGGGGGAAAAAATCCATTCATTACCAGGTCTGATGCAGCCATGAGGGGAGAGGAGCAGTGGCCATGAGGGGTGAGTGGCAGTTGTGAGGAGGGAGCAATGGACTAAATGGATGCTTAAAGACAGCCAAGGCATAGGTGGTCTGTGCTCTCCCAAACTTCATCCTTCCAGGGCTGCACTTGTCCTGTACCAGCACCCTGCAGCCTCCCCATGGCTCCTGGTCCAGCTTTGCGGCCATGTGAGCTGCAGCTCCAGCTCTGGCTCCGTATTTGGCTCTCAGCTGCTGCGCCCTGACCCTGGCGCTGCTCAGGGAGGTTTCCCTTCGCCGTATATGGAGAGGCTGCTCGGGAACGCTGCTGCAGACCTGAATTAGCAGCAGTACAACATCTGTACAAAGCTCTGCTTTTGCTGCACTGAGCTGGTTGGGTTAAAGCAAGGCCTCCGGCTGGGTTTGCAGGAAAGGGAATAATTTGAGGAGACCAAATTTCCCATTAAATCCCATTTTTTTTATTGTTTGCCAGGATACGCATGGTTATAATTTCCTTTATGGTGGTGCAGTCATGCAGAAGAAGAATAGAGCATAAGCAGACCATCTCTGTATGTAATTCATGTAATTCATGTATGGCAGTAAATAAAAACCACCTGTCCTGTAAAAAGCCAGCACAGGCTTTGCCACACAGATACTGCTTTTCATGTGGGTGCTGTGTGAGTATGCAGAGGATGGGCTGCATCAGGTATGGGATCTTGTCCAGCCTGTGCAGTCAAAACCCCCAGACTTCTCCTTCAGATAAGCAAGGAACGGGCTTGTGGGGTCGCAGCTCTCCAGTGACCATACCTGCCACCACTGAAACCCAGAACATAGCAGGAGAGGGTTGTTTGATTATTATTTTTTTTTGTCCAAAGAAACATAAGCCAAACTTACTTTGGGATCTTACTGCTAGTGAGAACTCAATGAGATCTCTAACAGGGAGTCCCTGCAGCGAGGTGGGACTCTGGTTTCTCTGAGGGTGGATTCAGCTTGTGCTTCCAGGGCACGAAGGAAGCAGGTTGTACCTCAGATGGCCCTCCAGCAAACTTCACTGCACCTGAGAAAGCAACATTCTTAATTGTATTGATTTAATTGTAAAGCCCGGCCAACACAGCCTCTGTGCGGGGACTGCTCCCACCTTTGCTGTCCATTAGAGACTTTAGACCTCAGCGTGTTCAGTTATACGGGAACCCAAGTCAAGGCTCAGATATAACTCTTTAGAAAACTTTTATTCTAAGAGTTTTCTTGTAATTTCCATTTTTGGCCTGTTTTGCACCCCCTTGTTTCTTCATTGAACCCTGGAACTGCATAATTAGCATAAAAAAAGTTTTGACTGATTTTGTTTGCTTTCTCTCTCCTTTTCTCTTTTGTGACAGATTAAAAAGCAGCAACAAGATGTGTTAGGATTCTTGGAAGCTAACAAAATTGAGTTTGAGGAGAAGGATATTGCTGCCAATGAGGAGAATCGGAAATGGATGCGTGAGAACGTCCCTGAAGACAGCCGGCCAGCAAGTGGGAACCCCCTGCCCCCCCGGCTCTTCAATGACAGCCGGTACCTCGGGGTAAGGAATGGCTCCAAGTCCCAGCATCTTCTCCCTCCCAGTGCTCTTGCTCACTGCTAAATTCTGTGCTCACTGTTGTCATCAGCAGGGAAGGACTTGACCAGCCATATGTTCAGGCGTGCACAGTGCGAGGGGCATGGAAGGTGTTAGACATTCATCCCTCCTCTTGGGCTTGTAATCGTGACTCCAGGTCCACCATAGAGGAGAGATTAAAGCTTGGACTTCCTGATTCTTAGGTTATTATGCTACTTACTGGAAAGAGCCTACCACCACCTTGCAGTGTATATATATACCCCCCCCCCCCTTCTGTTTTCTTTTTCTCTCCTCTTATGGCTCTGAAAGTGTACAGGGTTTTTAAATTCTCATGTTCACCATAATGGTGGACTAGCACATCACAGAGATCTGGCACTGTTGCACCAACCTTATGTTCTGTACCACATTCAGAGGTCTGTGCTGACTGCGTGGGGTTTGCCCATATGTGTGGATCCCAGATAGCTCTATAATCTGTTCATCTTCCAAAATAAGTGCTCCTATGAAGTGATGTCTGCCATGATCTTAAATCAGTTTTCTGATCCTCTCATCTGTTTTTGTGTACTGCTTTCAAAATGAAGGCTTTTGCAGCCCGCTTACTCCAGTAACTTGAACGGATTAAACTCATGTTGTAAATACAATGCCTACTTCTAATTATTTTAGTGCTTGATCAAAAGTAAGTTGCCCTGCAGCACTTCTACTCAGCAGGCCATGCTTGAATGGTCATTAGATTAACTGTTAGTTTTATTTTTTAAACTTAATATCTTCCGAAAAGAGCTCACAGTATGAGAGCTGGTGCTGTGTGTTGGATTTCTAAGTCATTTTGCAGTCTGGTTCTGACCTGCAAAGCCTGTTAGCCAAAACCTGCTCATTCTGGACCTTTGTGAGGCAGTTTTGCAGCTACTGAAAAATTACTTTCAAAGGACCAGGAAATTTTCTTCTGCTTGTGATAAAAGCAGAACTTGAAACTACCCACAGTCAGCTAATGCACTACTCGGCTCTCAAAATATTACTGACTGTACTTGTGACACAGAAGAAAGTTGGTTTGGAGCAGCAAATGTAGTGATAAATAGTTGTCTGCAGCAGAAAACTGAGAAGGGGCTAGTCACAGAGAACTGAACATCTCTGTTCTGCTACTGCTTTAAAAGCAAACAGAAAGAAGCAGCAAATACTTCTGTACCAGTAGGAATTCCCGTTGGAACAGTATCACCTTTCTCGCTTGGTGTACCAGAGCTTTAGGGATACAAGCAGATCACTGTGTGGTTGTCCTTTATCAGTGCAGTGTAGCCACATTCAGCTGTGCATCAGAATGGGGTTTTACCATCCGGGGATGTGGGACAGGAAGAAAAAAGCTATATGCACCTAGATCTGGATGCCTGTTTGTCAGAGGTGCTTCCCTAACTACAGCCTATGACAGTTGTGAATACAGTAGTGCTGGGAAAAGGGGGTTAGATGCTTTAGACTAGTTCTTGCTATGGGTTTATTTCATCCCTCAGATTTGGGTTGATGTCATCTTGAACTTTTTGAATTTCAGAGAGTTAATGTAGCTTGATTCAAATTGCTACAGTTTGGCTTTCAGGAAGGCCAAAGTTAATTCTGTGCCCACGCACTTGAACCTCTTTTTCTTTATCTGATCCATCTCAAGCATGAGCTTCCCTGTATATTTCATCTGATGCAGCAGAGCTGGCAGAGGAATGAGCAAATTGGCTTTTATTGGCCTGTGCACAGCAAAAAGGCTGTTAACTGTCTGTGCTGTGCAGGCTGGCATGAACCCCACTCCTTAGTCACAGGCATTCCTTTCCTGGGAGATGCTACAAAGCAGACTGCTGGACTATGCACTAGCAAGATAAACAACCCCTTTGTTATCAAGCAGCCCCAGTACTGTCAACAGAAGGGCTTCAGGGGGGATTTAACTTAATTGTACACATTTTTATCGAATTAGCACCCGAATGTTGCGTGTACAAATTGAACAGTAACTCAGTGCACCTCGTCTTCTAGCCAGCTTGAATCCTCTGTGCCCTGTAGTTTTTTCTGTTTCAGCTGTGGCCGCTTCTTTTAGAGCTGGCCCTGCTCTGAACATGCTGCTATTTTCAAATGGCATTTGCTGTTTCTTAGGCTTTTGCCTACCACACAGACAGGCATGCAAAGCAGCATGCCCCTAATGGCAGCTCTCTTCCTGACTTCAGCCCTGACTGAGCCTACTCTCAGCTACTGCCTTGCCTGTTTTCTCAGGCTGGACTCCTGCATCAGAACACTCCCCCACAAAGCTGGAGGAAGCTGTTGCTGTTGCTTCAGTTAAAAAGGGAGAGAAGGAAAGTCATAGGACAGATATGTGCTGAGTTTGGAAATCAGGGTGAGGAAAGTATGTGGTAACTGGGACGACAGTGGACTTGCACAAACCTCATGGGTTCATTCAATCGGTGTTCGGCAGCTGCTGTTGCTGAGCCTCACTGTGGGCTTTTTGCTTGATTCTTCCAAATGTAGCAGACAACTAAGCTGCATTGTTTCTACCAATACTGCATTCTGCCTCAAATATAAAAAAGGGCAGAGAAGGGAGCATTGGTATTTCTTTTATTATTTCACTGTTTTTACCTTAATTTTCCTGGGAAGTGGCTGTTACGTATTCAGAGCAAGTATAGGGCCCTATGAGAGCAATGAACAGTGCTACCTGATTTTCTTCATTAGCGTAATCATTAATGAGAAACATGATGGGAAAAGGTGTACTCTCAGTTTACAGGTTTAAATTTAACTTTTAACAGGTTTAAGAGTTAATGTCCATAGTTGCACAGTTGCCATTCCTCCTCAGTAATTAGCAATGATGACATCTGGACACATGAGTGTTACTGATGACAAGGTACAGACTCAGCCCGCTCCTGCAGGAGGGACATCCAGGCCAGACCAGTGACAATATCTGCCTTGCTATGCAAGCTCTCCCTCTGGGAAAGGCAGAAGCACCTCACAGCAACATCTTCTTGCTCCAGACAGTGATACTCTCTTTTCAGGCAGTACAGTGGGTGTGGGATTGGTGCTAACAATAACTGGCTGAGGGAACACTGAATTTTGCATTCAGCCACAGGAAGCAGCTTGCTTGGTGCGTGTTTGATAACACAAATTGAGCTGTGGCTGTTTCTGACAACTCATGTTCTGCCTTTTGTTTCCCCCTCCTTCTTGGACTCCTTTGGTGAAGGACTATGAAGCTTTCTTCGAAGCACGAGAGAACAATGCGGTATATGCGTTTTTAGGCTTGACTGCACCACCTGGTTCAAAGGTAGGTGTGCACGTTTCTCAAGGAAATTCGAACCTGTATTCTACACCTTATTCTTCTCTGCTCATAGTAGGGTATTTTATGTGTTCTGTGGTTGCCCCAGTCAGCCTACCCACAGATCTGATAACTTTCAGGCTCCAACATCACAACACACACTGTTATGTGTTGGTTTATTTGAAGGATCTGGTGTTCCCTGGAGGCAACTTCCCTCCTTCTATGAGAAGAACTCAGTGTTCGGTACAAGTGCTTTTTTGGTGTCCTCACTGCAGAGCCACCCTGTTCTTATTTAAGTTAATGGAAGAGCTTTCATTGCTTTGGAAAGAAGAGCTGGGTCAAGTTCTTCACTAGAAATAATTGTTTCTGACCACCGGATTTTTGTTTTTTCTCAGCTGTTCACTGAAGAATGCACAAGAAATCTAGATTTAAAAAAATTGTCACAAACCCAAAGAATTATTTCAATTCAGTGAAAAAATTAATTCATATAAAGTTTTGGTAAGATTTTTGTACTAGAAAATACTGTGAAACCAGAGTCACTGTATTTGAAATAACGTGGTCTTGCTTCAGAGTAATTTATTCCTGCAGCTTGTTATCCAAAGCCTTGTTTTTCTTCGCCAATTACAAACTGGGCTGCTGCTTTGTGGATGCAGTGAGCTGGAATTCTCCATTTGATTTTGATAGGATAGGACAAGCCTGCTTTATACGTTTCACTTGACAACAGCAGGATCCTCCAGGTCACTTCCAGCTTTCTTGTTCCAACGGATAAACACGCCGTTTCCTTTCAGCTTTATTCATGTAAGAGTTGAAGGTCATGCTGTGCACATCACTAAGAGACCTAATTTTAAAGGCGGATGGTGATCTGTCAGTGATGAGCATTACAAGTTGTGGATCAGACTGAAGCAGTTTTGGGAGCCAAACTGATTTCTAGCAGTAGAAATGGTGTAGTGAGGAAGAACTCTGCCTTGTACAGAATTGCAGAGAGCAAAACCCCAGCATCATGCATCGGAAGCCCAGCTGCACACAGTGCCGTAGTCATATCAATCTTCCTTAAGTTTCTGGTAACATCTGCACAGCATCGCACAAGAGAGTGTGCAGTATGGAGCCAAGGAGTAAGAAAGCAGCCCTGAGATCACAGCAAGAAAGGTTGTGTTTCCTTTCGTGGGAAGTGCAGTGGTACTGGGGAGCAGGTGCTGCCATAACAAATCAGGTCATCTGTGTCTGTAATGTGTATGAGCATTGCTGCTTCCTTAACCTGCCTGCCTGCAGAACCAGTCAGCATGGCTATTAGTTGCTCTGATTCTGTCCTCACCTAAGTAAAAGGTGAGTTTTCAAAAGGAGAAACACAATGCAGCTGTACTATGCTGAATTGCTTGCTGCAGCCTGGGGAGGTGCGTTTGAGCTGATGAAGATAACCTTTGCATAAGTGACCTTGTACCCAGTGCATTCTGCTGCTGGTCTGACTTTTGGTATCTGTCCCACAATTACATGATGTAAAATCAAGCTGATTGCCTGATGCTGAAATTGGCATTTACAGCATAGCTGCGTGCAGCTTGGATATAGTATTTGTAGTTAATGACATTGCATCCATGTCTGTTGCTACATAAAATGGAAAGTCTGGGATCAACCTGTATGCGAGTGAAAGAGAGGACCTTGACAGTAAACCTCCATTAAATGTCATTAGGAGAGATTTGGAAAGGTAGTTGACTGAGCACAAAGGTCCAATATTAATGCTAAACAAGAAGAACTCTGAAGCAAGCATTTGAAATGCATGTGAAACTATTTACTGAGCCCTGGTGATTTGGTTTGTGCTTTAGGCACTGAGGGTACCATTAGATGTAGAAACCCTGAGAAAGGTTTGTGTTCTATTTATCTTCAATATCCCTGCTTCAGGCAATATGGATGGGTCTTAAGGGGAGAGGATTTTGTGAGTTAAAGGCCGTGATTAATTATTTAAGGACTGAGAGCATGCTCAGTGAGGGGCCTTGAGGGAGAAATAAGGAAAAGCATGAAAGAGGTGTAGTGTCAAATCTGAGAAGCCCAGCCTTTTCCTTGTTAGCTTGCAGGACCACGCCTGAGGAAATGGAGTTTGACCTTCAAGACAGATAGGTTAGCATGTTCTCTTGAGTTACTTGTACCCACTTTCCTGGGGATGAGGGGAATACCTGGAGTCCTTTCCGGTTTGCCACTGCCTGTTTTGAAGATATGTACTTTTCTGGAGAGAAAGGAAAAAAACAGTGCTGGATGTCACTTCTGTAGTGCTCGTGACTGGTGAATGGAGTTGTCCCAAAGCCAAAGGAACCATCTCCTCTTTCTTACCCTTCAAAGAGCCTCTTGTCTTTTAGAGAATATCAAGCATCAGTTTTTTTCACCACACTTTGTAGTTCTTTTTAACCCTTCCTCCATTCTTCACCTGCCTTTTCTGCCATGAACGGACCGGATGCCCTTGCACGAGCAGCGGTGACGCCTGGCTCTGCTCTTTGGCCTGTGACATGTTGCCAGAGAAGAGCAGGGCGCAGTCCTGGAGCACAGCAGACCTGAGCCAGCAGCCAAGCAAGGCTTTCCCACGCCCCTCAGTCAGGAGGCAAGGCACTTGGGCAGATAGCCAGGAAACCCAGTGATCCACCATGTCTAAGATAAGGGAGATATGCGTGGTACTTCCTGCCCTGCAGGCTGGGGTCACCCACGTGTCCCCTCTCTTGCGAGTCTTATAGGCTTCTTGGAAATTCGCTTCTTAGTCCTTCCTCCTCTTTTTTTTATGTGTTTAGCATACTGGCTCATGTTAGCAGTGTTGTTGTGTCTGTTCAGTATTTCTTTTTAGTCACAAAAGCAAACAGCTCCATTACATAAAAGTTCAGCAGATGTCAAACTTTTTCCTTTAAAATAAACCACACTGTCCAGCCCAAAGTGCTGCAGTGAGACCACCAGGACTCTTTATCTCCCTGTAGGCCTTGTTGCTGCTAACAGGTGATTAAATAAATCTTCAGTCAAAAGTACACTTGTAGAAAACATCTCCAGAAAAAAAGAAAAAGTTAATTTTGCCTTTCTTCTGTTGTCATTCACTTCCCCTTTGTGACCCCCTTACAAAAGCTGAAAGACAACTGAATAATGCAGGTTAATTTTCTTCTGTGTCCCTGCTGGCTCCTGTCCCCCTGCAGTGCAGTAGGGAGCTAGGATTACTCAGCACTGTCGGTGCCAGGATGGACCTGCTGCCAGCCCAGAACAGGGCTCACGTGTGGGTCTTGTGCTACAGCAGCTCTGGGCTGTGTCCAGCTGAGGACTCACAGCTTGCTCCAGTCACCCTTCCGGGAGGCAGTGGCTAAATGCTGGCTCAGTAGGGTTTGGTTCAGAAAGGATACAGCATCTGTCCTGAGACCTCGTGGGGGGGGGCCCCCCCCATCCCTACCCCCCTCCATTTTTTCCCTACCCCCCCTCCATTTTTTGTTTTAAACTTTTATGATCAAAACAGGCTGGAATATTCCTGCAGGTCTTACTTGAGGTGGCTCAGAACTGGAGTTAAAGCCAGCACCGTATGGGACTTGTTTTGTAATGTCATTAGGGGTGATGGGGACTCTTATCTTAAGCTGGGTTCAGTGCTGCTCACTTCTTAATCACATACCACTGCAGACTTTGTTGTGTCATACACTAACACAGGTACGTGTAAGTTACCACCTTCCATGAAGTACTAATACGTGTAATTCTCTTCTGCTATTTCAGGAAGCTGAAGCACTGGCAAAGCAGCAAGCATGAATTTCAACTGCCTTAAACATTCTGTAAAGGGAATTTCCACAGCTTTTTATAAAATAGTACAATTGTCTCTGCTTCAGGAAACATAGATGTGATTTCTAACATTTGATTGGTGCTTGCAGCATTCACCTAATACAAATTTGAGCACAAGATGACAATGTGAACATAAAGTTAGCGCGGAGTGTGTTACTGCCAAGTTGGAAGCATAGGAATGAAGCAATTGGACATGAATGATTTTTCACCTATTTCAAACTGTCTTGGCAATTCGTCCATTTTGTGTAAACGTAAAGAAATTATTTTAGTACTAATAATACAGATGGGGTTCTACCTAGGGATCCAGGTATTTAAAACATGGAAAACAACATCTAAAACCTTGTCAGATACTAAATTTAGTGCCTGAGTTGCCTCAAAAATGTTACTGAATTACACAGTAATTTTTCAGCATCTTTTCTGGTTTCAGATGAAGTTGTAGGTGGTGTTGTGTAGTATAGCCATTGTAGTCACTTTTGAAAGTTGTGTTTGTTCTTTTGTAGAGTGGGTATTTAAGATTTGTATTGTAACACACTGTACAGATGGTAAAAACAAACAAAAAAGCCATGTTTTTCTCATGTAAGTGGTCCACGTGGGCTCTTTTCACAAAAAGGGATTTGGGTAATGGATGGCCTTTCTGTTGGCAAGTTCCTCACACAGCTGCCTAAGCACGACTTGATTACACATCCATGTGCAAGGTCCAGTGCACCTCAGTGACGACTGCGCTAATCCCCAGGCACTCCTGCAAATAAGCCAAAACAGCCAGAAATGGCATTTCCTTACCTGTGTAAGGGTGAAAGCCTTTAATGTATTTCTCTACAAAAATACCAGTTCACACTGCTTATAGCATTAGGCATCGTATTGCATGTTCAAGTAGTCATTAGATCCATATAGTATTTTTTCAAAGGAGGAAATAACTGTTTGAATAGCAAGAATATTGTAATTAAATGAGACTTCTTTTTTTTTTAAGGTTTAAAAACTTTTTTTCCATTGTTATTGCCATATCATGAAGCTATTGCAGCAACAGCAAATCCATTAAAGTGTCTTGCATTGGTGCAATATTAACCTGTCTGTTCTCCCAGTGTCCCTGAGATAGACTCTATTTCTTGGCCATACTCTGCAAAAATACAGATAATTACAAGTGCCCTGAAGGGTGAGAAACAGGTTTTGAAAGTGTGTGGGTAACTTAAGATGCATTTTGCACCACATACTTACTCCCCAAAAGCATCAAAACACAGGAAGAAAGATAATTAGTCTTTGGCATAGTTAGAGGTTAATTCGCACAATTTTGATTTTCTTTGTTCTGTGAAGACAGAGAAACAAAAGGGTACTGTCGTGGTTTAACCCCAGCCAGACAGCTTTTTCACTCACTCTCACCCCTTCCGTCATCTCAGCTCTGTTCCCAGCCCGAAAGTCAAAACACAGCACTGCACCAGCTACCAAGAAGGAGAAAAATGACTGCTATTGCTGAACCCAGGACACATACAGATCAAAAGGCTGCATCGCTGTTCGGTTATTTTACACTGATGCTTTAAAATCTGGGCAGTGCTTTTTGAATACTTTCTGAAACTGATTGGAGTTCTTGGTTTCAAAGTCTGAAATTTAGGAATGGGAAAAAAAGTCAAAACTCAAGGTTTACAGAGATGTTCTGAAGTGTAGTAATTGGATAGTTCCCTCACCAGTGTTTCTTTGGGACTTTTGTTCTCTTCACTACCACTGATGATTTTGTCAGTGTTAGAATGCAGCTTGTTGCTGTTGGCTGGAGAGCAGCTCTGCTGCCAGACAGCTCATGGTGAAATTACTGCTGGATCTAGCGTAGAAGTGAGTTAAAGTTAGTTAAAATGGCATTTAATTCATGTTTTATCTCTTCTGAATGGGGAGCCTGGGAGATCAGTTTCAAGCTCATGCTTACATAAGCAAGCAGAGTATCAAAAAGCACAGGGATAGATTAATGTTGCCTTCACATGCCTTTGTGCTTTTTCATCAGCGCCTCATCAGTAATTTTGTTAACTCATATTTCAGTAACTACTGAAATGCTGTGAAATTTATTTCTAAGATTGTTTGAGGATGGAAGCTAGGTTACGTTTTAACCCCAGTGTCTGATTTTTGTTGCTCAGTATGATCTCACCTGTCTGAACTGATGAATATTGGTACCATCTTTATGTCTCAACTAGTGTTTAAGCTCTAAACGAGTTTTTGAGAAAGTATGGAAGTAAAGTCTTGTGAAGAAAGTGGAATTTGACACGTGAGTCACTGTGCTCATGTTTGCTGTGTTTCCTGTGTAAGGAAAGTAATGGTGTAAGTTTTGTAAATTGCAGTCATTATTTTGTGGAGCATGTAATTGAAAATCTCTGCCAAATTCTGACAGTTCAGCGACCCAAAACATGCTGGAACGAAGTTGGTCTCTGCTTCTGATGGGCAAGAAAATCGCCAGGTTTAAGAAGGCAAAGTCACTTCCCTCGCCTGGTCCCCCAGCCTCGCCATATGGTAGCGTTCAGACTGTGTCAGCATTCCTAAGAAAGCTCTGTTGAGACAGACTGAATTACTTCTTTGTCCGGGGAACAAGGCACCAACACAAACAGAAAAATACTGAAAATAACTCCTTGTTGTGTGTGAAACCTGCATTCATTCTGATGCAGATATCCTGCATGAATTTTGGAGTGCTGGGAGTCTGCTGCCTGTTGGCTTTTTTTCTGTACTGTACCTGTGTTGGGTTAACGGTGGGCACAAGAACGGAATTTGTTCATTTATCTGTTGTTTTTCTATGTAGAAGGCAGGCATTGAGGATTTAATGTGCATATTAACCATTCCTGTATCATTCCAATAAAATCGTTTTAGAATGCTTTCTCACACGATTGACTTGTTTGTATGGTTTGTTCACGGTTTGAAGGGGTCCCTTAAGTTGGACGAAGTGGAGCTTTCAAATGAAAATGCTGCAAGCTCTGTACAACAAAGTGCATGTAACACATGTACTGCTCCTCTGTTACGTCTGTTGGGTTGGAGCTCTTACCTGTTGCAACTAGTGGGTTTTAATTACTTAGAATACATCTACCCAAAATAGTAATTGGAGGCTTTGGAGCTCTGAGGGAGCACTGAATACACTTCGTCATTAACCTGCTTCCCCCCTCCTTCCCCAAGGCTGTGACAAATGGGAAGTGGATGGAGCAAATTGGGTTCATCCGTGCCTGCAGAGCCTGGCTCTGCCAGACAGTCCCTGTTGCTTTTTTGGCAATGTGAGATTAATTAGCTTTTAGGGAACTATGTTATTAAATATTTGTGTTGCCAGAGGGCAGTGTGGGATAAATTTTTAAACTAAAACTATTCATTTTTTACCTTCTGTTTGTGCCTGGTAGATCCAGCAGGTTCATTAATTTAAGCTTTACGTGCTGAAGTTTTGCACCACCTGGAAGATGTTCTGTAGAGCCTCAGAAGATGCATTCTCAAGCCCCTAAACTGCCCTCGGGATTGCCCAAATCTCAGTCTTCAATCCACATCCTCCAAAGGAAGCAAGTAACTTACTTCTTTCAAGAGTGGCTTGTAAGGCTGCTTGCGTGCCATTTATATGATGGCTTTTTTTCTGTCTGAACAACTAAAGCACAACTGAGAACCACCAGTTATGCTGATGTCTGTTAATGGTGTTCATTGCTAGTCCCTCGCATTGACTTCCTCTAGTTTAGCATCTTAAAAAATGGTCCATTGTGTAAGACAGGAAAAGGGCTTTTGATGCTATTTCTGAATTAGAGTGAATCCCGTTTACCTTTCCCGTATATGCTCTTCACTTGTATAACCCAGAAGAATCTCCATGTTTCTTCTTTGTTCATACCAAGTCAAAACCCTGTGCTGCTATTCATTAATGTAAACCTCAGTAATAACAGTTTTCAAAAGTCTGTTTAGAAAACACACTGCATGTGTGCATATAATGTTAACTTGCCGTTTCAGGTTGCAGTGGTGTGCACTGTAGTAATAAACTTTTCTACCAAGAGATGTGGGACTTCAGTCTTTTTTTCATGTAATATTCTCCATCTGCATCTCATGACAAATCCTGTAAAGTCTGATCGTATCATTAAGATGGTGTTGCACAGATTTCAAATACCAGAAATGCCTTGAGGGGTGCGCAGTGGAGGTAGGTGCCTGCTAGTCCCTTAATGAAAAGCCTTCAGAGAGTGTTCAGTTTAACTTCACAGTGACAAAGCCCAGCATGGGTTAACCTGAGACACAGCAGCAGTTGAGGAAGGGCTCTGGAGCAGCTCAGATACAGGTGAGAGTGTGTACACGTACATACACACATGCATACATATGTGTATATATATATACATACAAACACATAGAGTATACAAAGATCTGCTCTGTGTCTTGATTTTCTGGGTTTTGGGTGGGAGGGTTTTTTCTAGATATGAGGAAAAGGCAGGGGCCAGTCCTGTGCACTGAGGCCCACAATTTGATACGTGCACGGAATAACGTTTACCAAGAACAACGTAATTAATGTTTTGGGGTTTTTTTCCAAAGGACTAATTTAAATCCCTTAACATAAGAGACTCAGACTGATCAGTAACCTGTGTTAAGGACTTTTATCAGAACTGATCTGTGTTTTCTCCATTATGGTATGAGAACTTTCATAGCCAATTTGAAACGACACTGAGACAGCTCATTACCTTGGAACTGGGCACTCAGGTTTCCTGACTCTGTGTTTTCCTCTTTCACCAGTCTTGCTTTTTCAGGGCTTTGCTGTGATGTGGGAATGTGTGTATGACAGTGCCTAGCAGGAGGCGCTCTGTGTTCGCATTTCCCCAGCCTCTGATGTTCAGCTGATTGTAGGAGTAAGGGGAAAATCAAGGTACTTAGTTATTACATCAGGTAGCCCATTCCAGATCCCAGTTCTGGTGTTGCATTTTTGCCACGTTCCTTTTTCCTCCTTTTCTCACACAGATCGTGACAGCCTCTGCACTTGTTCTGGAAATGGATTACACCCATGATCCATCTGAATAGATCAGGTAGCACTAACCTTGCAGAATAATCCCTCTGTGGTCTACAAATTTTCTGTATGATGTGATCTTGGTAGAATGTTTAGGTTGAAAAGTTCATTATTAACCATTTTCAATAGGTTATTACTAATAATTTTGAACTGGGTTGGTAAACTTTCAAAACAACGAAAATGCAGGTGGCTTCTACAAGGCGGCTTAAGGTGATGAAGTAGAAAATTGCTGACTCACTACAGGAGGTGAGCACCTGGAGCATGGAGTACTCCGAGTATGCAAAATACATGTATTTAGTATGTTGCATTCATGAAGTAACAAAATTGGTTCTATATAGAGTAACTTCTCTTACAGGTTTGTCTGTTGAAGACGTGGGCACGAACTTGGACTTTTCATTCCGAGTTGCTCAGTACAACATTTCAACATCCTTTTAAGGGAAACGAGCAGCATCATTCATGTAGCATCAGCTGCGATGTAATTCCCCCGGGACTCCGTTCCTCTCTCAGCCCTTTCCCAGCGTGCAGAAGTAATTCGCTGTTTGTGCCAACAGCCCTTGATCAGACGGACTGGTCGCGGCATTACTGGTGAATCCCGGTGGCCGCCGCCTCCTCACGGGTCTGCTGAAGCCCGGCGTCTGGTCCAGGCAGGGCGGGATGGGGCAGGACCCTCCGCACCCCAGGTACCAAACCCTAATGGTACCCACGGCCCTTCACCGGCCACCGCCTCGGCGTGTTGCTGTGGCAGCCAACCGCGCCCTCCCATTGGAAGTTCCTGATGTCAGTCAGGGATGTCCGTGCGTGCCGCGGGGCTCGGGTACCCGCCCTGCGTGCGGCGGCATCGCTCCCATCGGGGACCATGGCACCAGCCAGCGGCCCCATCGCACCATTCCCCGGCCCGGCCGAGCCCAGCCTATGCTCCCTGTGCCCGCCGCCGCCGGGCGCTGAAACGTGTCTTCTTGGGGTCTGAAGTGTGCTTCTTGGTGTCTAAAAAGTGCAACCCAGCCCTTTCGGCTGCAAAACCGCCCCTCCAGGATCGAAACCAGGTTCGTTGTGCTGCTGTCATTGAACCTGGCAGAAGAGGCATCCCCAGAGAGCTCGAACTCTGGTTGGGGCAAATAAGGAGTTGCTGTGGGAGAAGGTACTGGAAAACTCGAAGAAGTTGGGGTTTTAAAATGAAATTGTGCTGGTTTAAATGGCAAATAATAGACTTGCAGCAGCTAGGCTTGGAATAAAACAGTTAATATAGTGAACTTCTATTTCACATTTATATGTATCAAATACAGAGGCTGAATTGAGTGACTTTGCATGCTGCTATAGTTCTTTTGAAAATTTGATGAAATGACGTTTTCAACTTCTTCCCCATCAGAAGAAGGTCACAAGACTATAAATCTGGCTATTTGTTTCAAAAGGGGAAATGTGGTAAATATCACCGCCTCTGTAAGTCAGGTGGGTGACAGCACGAAGCTGAACTGCTGTAGACGAAAGTGTTGGGTGGAATTCAGGTTTGGTTTTGAACAGCCGGATGAAGTAAGACATGGTGATCCTTCAGAGGACTTAGTTGGCTTTAAGTGATGTACTGTGGCAGTTAGCAACTCATCAGCATTGCACCACAGCCAGAAACTACTCCATTCGCTTTTTTAACATCCTCTTTAGCTCTGCTGTCACTTGGTATTCAAAAACCGTGCCCTTTTCCAGTGGGATCACTTCTGTTTTAAAAGGGAAAAAAAAATGGGGAACTAAATCATGTGTACTGTTTTTTTTCCACACAGACAGCAGTGAAGAAAGGGTATGTAAGATTCTGTTCTCGTGCAGCCGCTGTAGTAGGAGAGTTCTGGGCTATGTGACCATTCGCCACCCTTACTCGACAGCGTTTGGTAAGTCTGGGCTTTTTGTGCCCTTTTTCCTCACTCATTGTTCCAGAATGCAGGCACCATTTCCTTTACTTAAAGAGGGCAGTTTTGCTAAGATATCCATATTTTAGCTCTACATTAACACTGTGACCTTCTACATTAACACTATGACCATTCTCAAAGCAATGCAGCAATATTTTTTAGCATTTGAAGATCTCAGTACCTAGATCCCATTTTTCAGAGGTACATGAAGCATATGTAAATGCTCCCATAGGTAAAATAAATGGTTATGCTAATGTAACCGGCAGGAGGCATGGTGTATTGCCTCACTTGCTGGCATATTGCAATTCCAGTGTTGCCTTCAGCTTCAGGAGCAGTGCCTTTCCAGCTGAAACAGAACCCTGAAAAAGAAAAAGCAAATGGCTGTAATGTGCCAACAGGTGGGAAATTAAAAATCCCATCTTTCAAATAATTGGAGTTGTAGAACAGCTTTCTGGAAGGAGTATTGGGATTAAAAAAAGTCACTCAGTGGATCAAGTTTGATGGCTGATAGATAGAAGCAAATGAGTGAAGTGAGGAGGATCTTTCTGGTTTTATATCATATATACTCAATCTGCAGTGGTTTCATTGGTGTGGAGGGCTAAATAGTGACTTGCATGGCATCACTACTGATGGAAATTGCCAGCCCAGTGAAAAGTATTGAGCCTTAATTGTCCATGATGCAAGTAGAATTTTGGGTGTATTCTCAACAGCATTCCAGTGTGTCACGTTCTGTGGGAGATTTAGTACGTACTCTGCAGTAAAGCTGCCTCAACCCTTGCCTCTGCCCCCTCTTTGAAACCATTAGCACAGTAGAGGCATGTAAAAGTACTTGAATTACTCAGAGATTAAAAAGGCATTTGAGGAACAGACAGATTTTCTTGTGTTCATCTTTCCCATGCCTCCGTAAGAGGAGTGCTGAGGATCTTTCCCTTAGTGAGTTTAGCTCAGACTTGGCATTAAGTGGAAAGATTCCCACTGATTTTAACAGTAGGTGAATTGAAAAGGAATGGTAAAGAATTGCTAAACCCAGTAGACTATTTTGAGACATATTGGCCAGCTTTTAATTGTTCATGTGCATTTAGTTTTACTAATGCACATGATTGATAAAAGCCTACAGATACACAAGCATACTACTTATCGCTATTGGGGAAGACAAATTCATATCTATCTTTTAAAATCATCATTAAGAGGAACTCTAAAAACATTCGTATACGTGAACTACATGTTAGATGCATTTCTGCTGTATTTGAGCTATCATCATCTTTTAAAGGTCCTTGGCATCCCACAGGAGGGCTCAGACCAATTCAGAATTAACCTCTAAGTCTGAATTTGATCTTGATTTCCTTCCTGTGTCACTCCTTCAGCTCTTGGAACTTGTTGTCTTTCAGTGGAAAACATTGATTTGCAACTGATGGTAGTGATATAGACAAGTAAAATGATTTTGTTGATTTTTAGAGCCTATAACTGTGATCTATCTCAACTACCCACAATACAGAGAGGTTATTAGGAGTAGAGGCCGTATTAGAGATGAAGGACCCAGTTAATGCCCTTCCTATGACACTTGTTGTGAATGACACTTGTTGACATGGTATGGAGATTGAAATTCTAGAAAAGCATGCAGTTGCTAAAAATAAGTATTTTGGAGAGAGAACAAAAGAATCACAGTCTTTATGAAAAGCACATTGTGAATTTTTTGTTATTGCTCCTCTTTGTCCAGAGAAGGTTGAGGTACTCTGCTTGTCACTCACAGGACTACATGGAACTCTGCTGATCAGGCTGTTACTCACACTTGTCATCATGTTGGCAGAAGGCATCTTAACTAGATTCATATATAAAGAAAGCTGTCATCAAGATAAGCCTCACAAATCTCATGCATCCAGAAAGGATAAAGAGGGAATCTGGAGACAGAAACTTGTAGACAACCCAAAAATCAGAGGCTTTGCTGATGGACATGAGAAGCAGGGTGAGATCTCTGCTAGAAGCAGCAAAATGGAACACAGGAGCAGTCCTCAGCGGAGATCTGCAGAAAAGGAACCTGCAAAGGCACAGAAAGTGCTTGTTAAAGGAACCGTGTCACCGGCTTTGCACATCCCCAGAAGAGAACAGGATACTGATGAGGTGGATTTGTACAGGTCCTGGTTGTGCAACAGCATTTACCAAAACTACCCTGACCTGCACATTGGGGGAGACCACGTGGGGGACCATGCGTGTGATTCCGGTTGTGTTTTGGACCATGCGTGGGATGAACTTCCCGATGGCCCTGTTTTACTGTCTGCAGATATCCCTCTAGGTCAGTCCCTTCCATGTGAGCATCCCGAAAAACCAAGTGTGAAGTCCCTGTCTGGAGATGAAGCTGGGGAAAGGAGTATTGTGCTCTGTGAGGAGCCCCTTTCAAACTCTGTGCTCAACAGGTACATGGAAACAAAAGTGGCAGAGCTCTATAAAGAGGTTTTTGAAGAAAACCTGACCAGATGTGGTTCTGTAACAAACCTCCTCACCTGCAGCTGGATAAGGAATAACCTGACTCAGATAAGCTTTCAGCTATCACAGGAGCAGAATATCGAAGCATCGAAAGCCAGAGAAGTGCTCTTGCACTCTTTAGCTTTGTTTAGTTTGTGCAACGCTACCAATAGGCATAGCTCTGAATTCAGTACTCCAAACTTACAAATCTCAAACCCAACATGCATGAGGAAGAGCTGCAGGACGCAGTTTACATCGTGACTGATGACTTAGCTGGAGCAGTGAATGTGGTTTGGATGCGGATATTTCACTCCAAGGATTAGGCTGGGAAATTAAAACATTTACACACTACAGACTTTCCCAAATGACTATGTTAAGGCTTGACCCATACTTTGTTAGCAGAGGAAGTAAAGGTCACTGTTTCCTTTTTTCCTAATATAGAATTTGAAATTAATTTCTCTCTAAAATACTACTCAACCATATTTTTATACTGTATATGTCCTCCTAAGACTCTATCTGTATGAATAGTCATGTACCATTGGGTTTATTCCTAAAAGAAAGAAGAATAAGTTGAAACATGGCTGATAAAACTTTCCTCTAAGAGACTGATCCACCCAACCAGACAGTGAAAGAGGTTGTCTTTGCTGGACTGGACTATGTAGTTGAAGCCCAAGTTTGAACTACTGGGGTTCAAATTTTGCTCCTGCAAAGCTTGATCACAGTGGAAAATGTTTCCTCGGTTTGAAAACCTTGTGAGCAGGTGCAGATGTGCAGGACCTGGGGGTTATTTTGTGTGTATCATACATAGGAAATGTATTGACATGATAACGTGAATGAAGACACTAATGTTACTGCAAATGTACGTTTGTACTGCGTAGGTGCAGTATGTTACAATGAAAATCTGGGTGATAGTTGATCAAGATTGTAGAAGTGTTTAATTTTCTTTAAGAAATGGTTTTCTTTTAAATAAATCCTTACCTCTCTGATGAAACCCGTGCAGCTTTCTGTCAGTATACTGTAGGTTATGGTTTATTTGTGTTTTTAGTAAATGGACTCTGCTTTTATTTCCTTGGAAATGAAGCACCTGCACCCTCAGCAAGGTGAGATGACTGCAACAGATGGGCAAAACCAATTCCTGCTGAGCATGTGGCAAATAAAATAGTTAAATGAAATCAGACTCATATGTGTCCGAGACTGAAGTGACCATCCTTGCTGAACCAGAAATTCCCACTGGCCTCGGTGGTGTAAGGAGTACAAGTGATACTTAAGAAATGAGTAATACTTTTCTAAGAGGGCAATAAGAAAGGATTCTTTGCTTTCACTGTGCATTGCCCTGATTCCTTCCAAGCATTCAAAACCAAGTCAGGAGTCCTTCTGAAGAGGCTGAAGGACTGCATTGGTAGAGATACAGAGAACAAGCTAACTGAGGGTGAAAGGAAAAATATTCTGGAGGACATCAGTAGCCAAAGGTTTGCAATTAACCACAGAGAATAGTGCTCTGTGGCATTTGTGCTGCCTTGCCCTTGCCTTTGATTTCCCCTGGGATATATTTATAGTTCAAACTGAAGTCCTGAAAGAAGTTCATTGCACAGAGTTCTTCCTTAGGAAATGTGGAAGTTGGAGTTATGGCAGAGGTTCAGACTTCGGTCAGTTTTCTGTCCTCCCCAGACCTAAGCAGCACAAGAGGTAGACCTGTTCTCTCCTTCTCACCCCTGAGTCCTGGCCCTAGGTCTTGAAGCCAACTGTGGTTTCAGCACTGATGTTCACAGATGCTGCTGCAGTGGGAGCTGCCCTGATGTCCCTGCTTCTCCCATCACCTGGAGAGAAATGGCACAGTTGGAAGAGCGTGGAAATGAATATTCTGTGTGTGCCACTGTGAATCTGTGTCAGTCCCATCCCATTTCAGGATGGGTTTCAGAGCCCAGTTTTTAATTAGTTTCATCAAATATGTGGACAATTTTATCTGGAAGGAAAAGAGGACACAATACCACAAGCAGCATTATAATAAAGGCTACAGATACAGGCTGTCCTGATAACTTTAGCTTGTATTACAACCAGATGGAAGTGAGAAGCATGTTACAGAGTTCATGATAGCAGCTATACCAACACCAGCCATATTATCGATGTGGGTGAAGGGAGGATGTGTCTAGCACCTGTAAAGATAATACATGACTTTACTGCTGGCATGCTTTCTGGTTTTGTTTTTCTGCTAGAAAAATATAAGATGACTTAGTTTTTAGAATTTTAATGAACAGTTTGGAGGAAGGAAAGGGAAAATTAATTTTTCATAAGTGATGTAGCTGCACAGCACAATGATGCACGTTTTAGCAGTGCAAATGAGGATGTAGAGAAATGCTAATATAAAGCACCACAGACCTTATTTTGTTATTGCTGCTGTGCAGTTTTGCCCATGGAAAAGTATCGTGTACGTTGCTGCAGAATATATTTTAGGAGCAAAATCTGGTATTTCTGGAAAGCCAAGACAAATACATTTATTAAACACTTAGATGCTGGTTTAATGTCAATTTTTTTTTCCATCCACATGCCAGAAATCAAAGGAGAAATGCTGCCAGGGAATTCTTGCTTTCACATCCAGTTCCCATCTCATATCCTCACAGAGAACTATTTATCAGGTAATGGGATGAGGATGCTGGAGGCAGCTGGACTCTTCAGTTAAATCTACCCAATTAAACAATACCTGTAGTTAGGACAGCCTGCTCTGTCATGGGCAATAAACCTGTATAGAAGGTGACTCAATCTACCTGGGTAACAGGGATTTTTACATGCCAGATCAACGTTAGCAAGTTTTCTGCTATCTATTAAATAGTGAAATGGTGATATCTAGTGGTGGGTTCCTTTAGTACCTCCTAGTTCAGGATTTCCAGAGCTTTACAACCATTTTGCAAATAAATCTCAAAGTCCGGCTCTCTTTGGAGGGAGGATTATTTCCCACAAAAGGATGCTCAAGTATGCAGAACAGCTTCTATCAACTGATGTTATATTCTGCAGGTTAAAATCTAGAAAGATGGCAATCCATCTTCCTCTGCAATAGTTTACATATAAAAATGCAATACCTATATTTTTTTTCCCTGGTTTGCTCTTGTTTTACGTATAGGTTTCCAAAGTTTAGCTATATGATTTTACTTAACCCAATCCTCTTTTTCTTTATCACTTAATTCCTGTCTGCATCTACTCTGAGTTAATTTATTTGTGCTGACTCCATCAATCTATTGGGAATATAAATCACCTGCATGGGTGCCCAGCTGCTAGCAAACCTTGCTACTCCTATGTACTAGGTCCTGGCTGCCTGTGGGCTTCTGAAGTGGAAATGAAAGCATTTAGTATTGACCCGTGAATCCCAAGAGGCCAAAGACCTTCCTTCTTCTGTCCTGTTCCTTGCAGTGATTGCAGGTATTTCCCCTTAGCTTGGGGGCAGTGCTCTGGGAAAGGGAAAAAGGCTGGAGGAATATCTGATACAGTGGACTGTGGTGGGGGGGAATCCTGCATCAGTCAGCAGCAGGATTGTCTCCAGAGGGGTTACTGAAACTTGCACAGAATGTGCTGGGGGTGTTCTTTGGACTATGTCTATTGGGGCCTTATTTCTCTTGGGATGCTTGTCTGGGGCTCTTTTTCAGGGAGAAAATTTGGCACTATTGTTAAAATCGCATTAAATTGCTGTTTCCTGGAAACCATCTGGCATCTTGACACTTTCCTATGGCTTTATTTACTGGTGTTTAACTGCTGAAGGAGGTGAGTGAGGGGCTGAGGAACTTCACCTCGTGAGTGGTAACTGTAGGAGATCAGAAAAGCTGTGTCTTTAAAACCAACCAGAAGCAGCACTAAGGCTTGCAGGGGTTTTCCATGTCTTGTTAGTACTGCTTCCCCCTGAGGGTAAGTGGAAACAGCATCTTCCCTAAATATAGCTCCAGTTATGTAAAACTGAAATATGCTGCTGTGAACTCTGTGAAATTCTCTATTGGGAATATAAACTTCCTCTGGAGCCAGGCTGATAGAGCTGGGCTGGGTCAGCCTGCAGAAGAGAAGGCTCCTGAAGGGGAGACCTTAGAGCAGCTCCAGTGCCTAAAGGGGCTCCAGGAAACTTGGAGAGAGGCTTGGGACAAGGGCCTGTAGGGACAGGCCAAGGGGAATGGCTTGAACCTGCCCGAGGGGAGACTGAGCTGAGCTCTTAGGCAGAAGCTCTTCCCTGTGAGGGTGCTGAGGCGCTGGTGCAGGGTGCCCAGAGAAGCTGTGGCTGCCCCATCCCTGGCAGTGTTTAAGGCCAGGTTGGACACAGGGGCTTGGAGCAAGCTGCTCCAGTGGAAGGGGTCCCTGCCTGTGGCAGGGGTTGGAGCTGGGTGAGCTTTGAGTTTCCTTCCAACCCAAACCAGGCTGAGATCCACTCTATCTGCTTGGTCTGTCAGCAGTGCTGGCAAGTTAGTTGAGGCTGGCTTATGTGTTTATTTTAGTAGCGTCATTGCAGTTGAATTAACCCAAAGAGGGGTGCTAGCTGTAATTTCCCCCTTCTGTTTACATGGGATGGGAATCCTTGGCTTTGCTGTGAGCATGGAGTTCTTCACTTTAGGTTAAGCAATGTGGTATGGCTCCCATTCACTTCTCATGCTTTTGTATTAGGCTTTTCTGCAAATTCTCAGGTCATTCTGTACCCAGCTGTAGGAAGCTCTGTAGAGGTTTCCCAAGTTCCAAGGCACAATACTTGGAGTTCCTTGCGATGGACATACATTCAAGGAATACTGCTGGCCTTTAAGCTCTGACTTACTCTATGGGGTCCTGGATGCTTTTAAAGAAAATTCTTGGTTTGTGCAATAGGATAATTTCTTAATGTGCTGTGTTGCTATTTTTTGTTATCATTCCCCATCTGTGGTGACTGCACACTTCTGCTTTCCATTGCCAAATGTATGAGGCATGCTGACCATTTATTTACTTGCTCTTCCATTGCTCAACCATACAAAATTGGTATTTCAAGAATTAATTACTAATCTGAAATGTAACAAACATTAACAAAGAGGAGTGAGAGAAACCCCAGGCTCATGCCTGCTCTCACTCTCTGTGTACATAAAATGTATTAGCGCTTTGTTCCAAATGGATAACATTTGTGAACTTAATGGGCCAGGGAACATATCTGCAAACTGATTTCCAAAACATCTTGGCTTGAAGTTTTAAATTAACAGATCTGTTCATTCTTATTCCTCTTTCCTTTTAGCTGAGTTACAAGAATCCTCTTGTGGAATAGGAAGGGAAGGCATGAGTGTTGCGTATGCAAAAGTCATGCAAGTTATAATGTAAAATAGTATCTGCTGGAGGTGCTTGCATGCTTAGAAAGGAAGATGGCACAACTCGGTTTCCCTTCACTAACCATGCACTGCTCGCACCCGGCTATGGTGTGTAAAGTACAGGTCACTGATCACAGGCAATGCCATTGCACTGAAATGGCTTTTGGATAGATTTATTGAATACTTTTATATAACAAATACTGCTTAGGAAGTAGCCACCTGATTATGCTTATTCCACAAAAAGAAACCAGAGGCTGCGTTCAGCATGCAAAGGACTTCAGAAAAACTAGACATTGCCTAACAGTTCATCTCCAGCCTGCTTTGGAGGACAGTGTGGTGTGTAGGTGTATGTGCGTCCAGAGAGCAGAGGGCTGCTCCATAAGCCAGTACACAGGGACTGATCTTCATGCTGAGTTGAAGTTCGTGAATGAATATATCTGGGGTATCATCAGTAAATGTACTGTGTTGAGGAGGTGTAACATGTTCACACCTTCGAGGTGAGGGATTACAGTGCTTGTGTACATTGAGTGTACTACAGCTTTATTCCAAGTTATTACAAGGCACATGGAAAACAAGGAGGTGACTGGTGGCAGCCAACATGGCTTCACAAAAGGCAAATTGTGCTTGACAAATTGAGTGGATTTCTGTGACAAGTTTACAGTGTTGGTGACTGACATCATCTTCCTAGATGACCTTTAGGGTCTCTTCCAGTCCAAGCCATTCTATGACTTTATTTACAGTCACAAGCTCAATGCAGATGGCACTGCCGTTTG